TTTCCCTTTTCAAAGACTTTATTTATATGAAATATTTCAAAGGATTATAATGATAATTAACATCTATGACTGTTTTGAATTTTTTTCTCAATAAGAACATTTTGTATTATTATTTTTACAAATATAAAAATACTGTACCTTTTAATACTAGTATTCCTGGGAGGAATATTAGTACTTTTTTTTTTCTTTAATTGCCTTGGGAATGTTTCTTCTTAATCTACTATAATTTATAAAGCATCTCTAAAAAAATCATAAAAATAATATATTTTGTACAGCAACTAGTGAACAACAAAACAAATATTAAATAGTTAAGAAGTAATCATTGATATGGTGGTGCTCAACATGCTTAGAAAGGAAAAACAATATTATAAGTCCAAAGTATTAAGTTGAAATACTAAAATAGCTCACTAAAGCCTGGGTACTATAATGTAGTCATTCCTGTAAATTGAAATAATAAAAAAGAAAATTTATAAAATTAGACAATTTTATTTACCTGTCCCTTTATTAGTTACTGATTTTTAATATCACAATTTTAATCAAAATTAGATTTTTGTTATTATAAAAGTTGTATATATGCATTGTACACAGTCAGAAAACAAAAAATGTTTCTTATGTAAATAACATGGCACCATATTCTCTCTACCTAGATCATCACTACTCCTAAAACCTTATTGAATGTCTGCACATCTTTCCAGATGCTCTGTGTTTATACACATACACACACTCACACATAGACATACATTAGGTAGGGAAGCTATGTCTCTTGGTCTTAGTAGAGTGGCCTTATGTAGCAGGGGTCCTGTGGGGTCCAGTGGTGCAGTCTTCCTGATTCCTAGAGCTCATGCTCCATGCGTGTCCCCTGTGTGAATTGTGTGTGCCCTTCTGTTTTAGTTTAGCCTTGGTTGCTGTTTGCACATCAATAGGGGGGATTCTTCCCCAGGGCTGATTGGGGAAAGAATGACTACAGTGAAGGAGCTGTTGTATAGCGGCTGACCCTGTGGAGCAGGATTTGCTTTAGCAGAGCTCTGGTGCCCGCCCAGTGTGCCCTTTGGGTGTGTCCTCCTTGAAGGCAGCCGGGTAATGCTCCAGCTTGGTTCAAAGCTGGCCAGTGGGCAGGCCTTCCCCAAGGCCACCTGGGAGGGGACCTGGTGCAGGCCAACTTCAGCCACAGCCTGCACTCTGCCTGAGGCCACCTGGCATGACCCACAAAGCAATCCACAGATGGCTGCCACTCATGCTGTCCTTAGAGGTACCTTGAGAGGCCAACCTGGGAACCAAGGCCAGCTGCTGTTAGTGCTTAGGGGTGCTCAGCCAGAGGGACGGGACATGCCAAAGACAGATGCTGCTTGTTGAGTTTTGTGAACCTTTAAGAGACTTTAGGAAAGTCTGCAGCATGGGTCAAGGCAGGCAGTTTATACAAATAAGCCACTAGAAGCAGTTTGGGTGTGCCCCAAAGTTGGGAGGGGCAAGGTCTCAGAATCACCAGGGTGAGGCAAATGAGTTGTGTTAGCCAGGCTGATGAAGACTCATGTATGATGGCCACCTGTGTTTGCACGCCAGGAAGGAGGAGGGCTCAACAAAGAAAGAATGGCTTCCGCCAGCTCCTCTGTGCAGAAGAAAGCTGCTTCTTCAGCTCTCACACCACAGCCAGACAACTCAGTTCCGCCCTGCTTGTCCCTCTCACCCCTCAAGCTGCTGCCACAGTACTGTAGCTCAGAGTGAGTGAGTCCATCAGCAAGTAAGTTTATGTGTGTGCCCTCCAAGACGAGCACCTCAGACTGTAGTTGCCTTCATCTCACTCAGCCACACCTCTGCTGGTTTTTACAACCAGAAATTATGGGGACTTCTCTCCCTGGCACTGGAACCCTGAGCTGGGTGGCCTAGTCTGTTGCTGGCACCCCTTACTCCTTGGGGCAGACCTTCGTAGCCGAGATACCCCTCTCCATTTTAATGGTTACATAAGGGTGTAGGACCTGCCCGTTCCGTGTCTCTGTCCCTCCTACCAGTCTCTCAATGGCTTCCTCTATATGTCCTTAATTGTAGGGCTTCAGTTCAACAAGACTTCAGGCAATTCTCAAGGATAGTTGTTTGGTAGTTTAGTTGTTTTGTAGTTTAATTTTGATGTGGTCGTGAAAGGAGGAAAGCACAGTGTTTACCTACTCTACCTTCTTGATCCTGAGTCTTCGAGGTGTGGTCATTTTTCTAGCTCAAAATGTGACATGTACAATTTTTCAGTATTTTCCATTTTGGGCTATCATTATGGACTTATAAATTTTCATTGATTCAATGTGTTTTAATTCACTATAATAATTATTGTTTTGATACTTGCATTGTTAATCTTTGGTCAATAGGGACTTCTTTAATTTGGCTCCTGTGTTTTCTGGACACAGACCTTCAAACAAAGTTTTTTTTCAGTAATCTTAATGTTGAAGTACATGTGAAAAAGTATGTTTATAGCTAGATGAATTTTGTAGCAAGTGATTATACCTGTATAATCACTGTCTATGTCAAGAAATAGAAGATAATCCACGCCCCCCCCGCCTTGCCCCCGCCGGAAGTTACCCTCTGTTCTGCCTTCCAGTCATTATCTTTATTATCCTATGGGTAACAACTTGCAACACCATGGATTAGATTTGCCTGTGTTTGAACTACTGTACGAGTATATTTAATTGTTTGTGTCTAACTTTTTTCACTCAACATTATGTTATGGGATTCCAGATCCATCTATATTGTTGCATGTAGTTTAGTATGTTTATTTTCATTGCTGTTTAGTATTCTATTGCATGAACATGCCACAAATATTTAACCTATTTTACTGGTGATGGATATTTGATTTGTTTCCAAATTTCACCTATTATAAGTAGTACTGCTGTGGACATTCTTATATGTGATTTTGGGAGACACATGCACTCCCTTCTTTGATACCTGGGGGTGGAATTGCTCTGTCATAGGTGTGCATATGTTTAGATATAATGGATATAGGTTTGCAAAATGCTTGTAACAATTTATACTCCCACAGCAGTATGGTGCTCCACATTCATAACACTTAGTATTATCTTTGGTCATTTTAGGCATTCTGGTAGGTGTGTAGTGGTGTCAATAAGCAAACATCTTATTCATTATAAATAATACTATGTCTAAATCTATAAGAACCTGTTGTTAATTAAGTCAAAACCATGTTGTCCTGTGGGCTCAATACCAGGTGTTTCATGTTTAAAAGAGAAATGAGGAAGTTGTCTTTGAATCTCTCATCACCTTCATTCCCACAGCCAACTGAACATTAAATGCTATGGATTCTAACTCCTTAAAAGCCCTTAAGTCATTCTCTTAGTCCAAGTCATTATCTCATTTTAGCCCAAATCAGTCTCTCTCTCCTGGATGG